AGGATAAGCAGGAGGATGGAACACAACCAGGATGTGGCACATATTGTGAGGTTTAGCTGAGGTAAAGGTGGTAGGGGTGAGAGAGGAGGAAGGAAGGAAGGGATGGGGGAGAGGAGGAGAGGAAGGCGGATGGGAGCTGCTTAAAGCCGTCTCTGGGCATTTGGATTCGCAGGCTGGATTTGGCCTGCGAGCGCTTGAGTTGATTTTGGCGCGGATGCGCTGCCGGTATTGTGGTCTGTCGTCAGGCCCGTCTTTTTTTTGCTCTTCCCTTCATTCCTTTCTTTTCGCTGCGTGCTCGTCCGTGGCTTTCCTTTCTCTCTCCCGAGCATTTTTTAACAGATACCTTTTTTTAAAAAGGTACGGGATCAGAAAACCAGTCAGTATCTGTGGCATGACCACCATTCTGGCCTCATGCAGCGCGACACATCTTCCTTCCACAGAGTTTGATCAGGGCTGTTGATTGTGGCCTGTGAATGCTGTCCCACTCCTCTTCAAATGGCTGTTTGAAGTTGCTGGATATTGGGTGTGGAACTGGAACACGCTGTCGTACACGTCGATCCAGAGCATCCCAAACATGCTCAATTGGTGGCATGTCTGGTGAGTATGCAGACCATGGAAGAACTGGGAAATGTTCCGCTTCTAGGAATTGTTTACAGACGTGGGGCAGTGCATTACCATGCTGAAACATGAGGTGATGGCGGCGGATGAATGGCACTACAATGTGCCTCAGGATCTCGTCACGGTACCTCTGTGCACTCAAATTGCAGTCGATAAAATGCAATTGTGTTCGTTGTCCGTAGCCCATACCATTACCCCACCGCCACCATGGGGAACACTGTTCACAACATTGACATCAGCAAACCGCTCTCCCACATGTCTGCCATCTGCCTGAAACCGGGATTCATCCGTGAAGAGCACACTTCACCAGCGTCCCAGTGGCCATTGAAGGTGAGCATTTGCCCACTGAAGTCAGTTACGACGTCGAACTGCAGTCAGGGTCAAGACCCTGGTGAGGACGACGAGCACGGAGATGAGCTTCCCTGAGACGGTTTCTGACAGTTTGTGCAGAACCTCTTTGGTTGTGCAAACCCACAGTTTCATCAGCTGTCCGGGTGGCTGGATTCAGATCCTGTCCCTTACCAACATGGCTGTCTCTCAGAGGTTGGTATGACCTAGCTAGCTAACACACCCTGTCCCTTACCAACATGGCTGTCTCTCAGAGGTTGGTATGACCTAGCTAGCTAACACACCCTGTCCCTTACCAACATGGCTGTCTCTCAGAGGTTGGTATGATGCTGTTGTTGTTGGGAAATTATATATTTCAATATGTAAGGTATAGCTTACAGAACAAAGCAATACTCACTTTTTAACAAGGTCTAAAAAGCTTGAAAGGAAACAGAAGATGAGGTTACTCTTTCAACTGGTCTTTAAATTGAGTGTACTTTCTTTTTCTCTGCTTGGTGTTAACTCTGACTGGGCCGGAGAATTCTCCTCTCTCCCCCTCTCTTCCTCTCCTCTCCTCCCCTCTCTCTCCTCTCTCTCCTCCTCCTACTCTCCCCTCTCCTCCTACTACTCTCCCCTCTCCTCCCCTCTCCTCCCCTCTCCTCTCTCCCCCTCTCTTCCTCTACTCTCTCCTCTCCTCCCTTCCTCTCACCTCTCCTCTCTCCCCCTCCCCTCTCCTCCCTCTCCCTCTCTCCCCCTCTCTTCCTCTACTCTCTCCTCTCCTCCCTTCCTCTCCCCTCTCCTCTCTCCCCCTCCCCTCTCCTCCCCTCTCCTCTCTCCCCCTCTCTTCCCCTCCTCTCTCCTCTCCTCCTACTCCTCTTCCCCTCTCCTCCCCTCTCCTCTCTCCCCCTCCTCTCTCCTCCTCTCCCCTCCCCTCCCCCTCCCCTCTCCTCCTCCTCCCCTCCCCTCCTCTCTCCTCTCCTCCCCTCCCCTCTCCCCTCCCTCTCCTCCTCTCCTCTCTCCTCCTCCTACTCTCCCCCTCTCCTCCTACTACTCTCCCCCCTCTCTCCCCTCCTCTCTCCCCTCCTCTCCTCCTCTCCTCCCTCTCCCCTCCCCTCCTCTCTCCTCTCCTACCCTCCCCTCTCCCCTCTCCTCCCCCCTCCTCTCTCCTCCTCCTACTACTCTCCTCCTACACTCGTGTGTGTGTGGTGTGTGTGTGTGTGTGTGTGTGTGTGTGTGTGTGTGTGTGTGTGTGTGTGTGTGTGCGCGTGCGTGCATGTGTCCTCAGACCCCAGTCCAAGATTTGGTTAGTAACACAATACATAGTGACCTCCTCCGCTATTTTCCAATTTGTGTTCCTAAATTGTAAACTGCCATAGTAACTGCTATTTGGGGAAAATGTTGGAAAATTCCGTCATGGTCATTTAATTTGAGCATTTCTGAGAATGAACCGCATTTTTTCATTTTGTAACACAGGCCATTTATTAATGACTCAAAGAAAAAGATTGTAGACATCATCATTGACTTCATCAATCATCAGAAATTAATCTTTAAGACTTTTAATTAAATTTTCCTTGGCATCCTACCATCGATGCAGTATGTATTTCTGAGGGTTCACTCTAAAGAAGAGAGGAAGAAGTGTGCTGGGAACCTTCTTACTCTCCTTCCTCTTCTCAAATCAAATCAAATGTTTAAGCCTACATTTCCTGGGAACCTTCTTACTCTCCTTCCTCTTGTGCTGCCACTCCATAAGGGGTGGGATAGTAGTGATCTTAATAATTATCGCTCCATTTCAAGGCTTCCTTGTCTAGCTAAGATTCTAGAATCCTTGGTAAATGTACAACTTTGTTCTTTTTTATCAGAGAAATATATTTAGAATGTAAACCAATCAGGGTTTAGGCCTGGGCATAGCACTGTTACAGCAACCACTTCAGCTGTTAATGATCTTGTCAATGCTTTAGACACTAAAATGAAATGTGCTGCTTTGTTTGTGGACCTGTCAAAAGCTTTTGATACTGTTGATCATGCTATTTTATTGAATAAGTTGTCCTCGATATTGAATAAGTTGTCCTGAGCTCTGACGCCTGTTCATGGTTTCATGACTATCTTAGTGACAGAACTCAGGCCATCGTGATTGATGGGGTCAAGTCTGAATTTCTTGTTGTGCTTAAAGGTGTACAACTGGGCCCTGGTCTCTTTACATTTACATTTTAGTCATTTAGCAGACGCTCTTATCCAGAGCGACTTAGAGTTAGTGAATACATATATATATTTTTTTATACTGGCCCCCCGTGGGAATCGAACCCACAACCCTGGCGTTGCAAACGCCATGCTCTATCAACTGAGCTACATCCCTGCCTTATTCTACAATGTATAAAATAGTAAAAAATAAAGAAAAACCCTTGAATGAGTAGGTGTTCTAAAACTTTTGACCGGTAGTGTATATATAAATAATTGTGTATAATGTGTATTTTATATTATATTATACAGAGCACATTTGGAAAAGAGACCTAGGTCTCAATATGTCTTCCATGTCGAAATAAAGGTTAAATAAAAATGTAACTGCCAATTATTTTAAGAGAAATATAACAAATGTAATGTGTATTTCCTAGAATATCACTTCCCACTGGTCAAAACTAGTTGAATCAATGTTGTTTCCAGGTCATTTCAACCAAAACAATATATGTGATGATGTTCAATCAACGTGGAAAACTGATTGGTTTTGAAAAAAGTCATCAACATATTGGAATTTCATATTTTTTCACCCAACTTTGAACCTAAATCCAATGACATGGTGACATTTTTTTTAATTTCACGTAGAATTCACGTTAGGGCGGCACGTTAGGGCGGCAGGTAGCTTAGTGGTTAAGAGCGTAGTGCCAGTAACCGAAAGGTCGCTGGTTCTAATCCCCGAGCCGACTAGGTGAAAAATCTGTCGATGTGCCCTTGAGCAAGGCACTTAACCCTAATTGCTCCTGTAAGTCGCTCTGGATAAGAGCCTCTGCTAAATGACTAAATTGTAAACTCAACCAAATGTAAATCAAAACTGGATGTTGAACTGTCCCAGTGGGTTTCTACTAACTGGATGGATTGGTTCTCATTTTGAATGATTTAGCCGAATAATACAACTTTCCGAGAAGTGTTTTCTGATGATCGCAGACCTGTTTCTATGCATCCCCTCTATTGTTTAAAGGTGTGTGTTATGGCCTGGGCTGCATTTCCTGCGTTTTGCCACCTACCCGACCACTTCCCAGGCCCTGAAACTAATAAACATCTCTAACGACCTTCACGGTCATCCTGGGAAATGGTTTGGAAATGATTTCAGTTGTTAAAAGTTTGTAGAATAAAACAGGACTATTAATTCATGAGTAAAAGCAGCAAAAATGTTAAAATAATGTAGTAAAATATAAAGCGTTTAAATAGAGGAAAACTTCCAAGTTTGTCTTTCGCATAGAAAATGTCACAAGTGAAAACGTTTTTAACTAATATAATTAAAATATCTTCGGTCGATCAAGTTAGATTAGAGATTGATCATCAGAAATAAATCATTTTAGGAATTAGCCTACAGGGCTGAGTCCTACCTATCCGAACATAGGCCTTCAGTAATTTTGAGATTGAGTAAAACTATAAAGAACATCTGAAATAAATACCTAAAAGTTAAAATCCCTCGGTTTCATTCTGCAGTTCTTTGATACAGGCTACTACGTGTAAATATTGACAGGTTGAAGTGATAAAGCAATTTAAATTGGCTGGTGAGCAATCGACTTCAGACACATTCCCCATCCTTCCTCCCTAGTTCTACTGACACAGCCGCATACAACCAATGGTTGACCACACGGCATACATCAAAGCGAAGACCAGCCAACCAGCGATGGCACAAAGATCTGTTTATTGACTGTTACTTCGGAATATATTTTCGGAAACTTGCAATGGAGTGGAGAATATTGGATATATCCAAGTGGATGGGGATATATAGCCTATTTGGGAGCGACCCATTTTTGTTTTCTTAATCTCAAGGCTTAATACGTAATTTTTCAACCCTGGAGCAGTTGGATAGAATGGCCTCAGGTGGCGGGGATGGCCCGGGGAAGGTTACACAGTACCGGGTGGAACACCTCCTCTCTGCGGTGGAGAACGAGCTACAGGCGGGCAGCGAGAAGGGCGATCCTACGGAGAGACAACTCAAAGTCGGCTTGGATGAGAACGAACTCTGGCAGAAGTTCAAGGAACTCACGAATGAAATGATAGTAACCAAAAATGGCAGGTAATCCATTCAATTGACATGTTTTGTATATTTATGTATATGGTTCATATATTGTATTATTTTCGGTTACTTTACGCGTATTATTTATAGTTCGGCAACATGCTAAAATTCTTGTGCCAAATGGAACTAGATGTATAGCCTATTATCTAGAACGGTTGTAGGTCTTAATTTATATAGTGAAGAAAGCAGGTAGGCCTATATCACAAATATATAGCGTCAAACGCGTCTATAACATTGCTGTGATATCACAGTAATAAAGAAAACAAAGATCGCACACCTCAATTCATGCATTATATTTAGAGTTTTTCTGTAACACCCAGGTTTACTAATATTCACATATAAAGTGAACCACGTGTTCGCTTGACATTAGTATCAATAATGCCCCTATTGTACAATAGATTATAGCTATTGTATTACAGCCAGTATGAAAAATGTATGCACTCACTAACTGGAAGTCGCTCTGGATAAGAGCGTCTGCTAAAATGACTAAAATGTAAAATGGATGAGATATTCTATCTTCCTTTGCATCCAAGGCGCATGTTCCCGGTGCTGAAAGTGAATGTTTCTGGGTTGGATCCAAACGCCATGTATTCGTTCCTGCTGGACTTCGTGGCTGCGGACAACCACCGGTGGAAATACGTTAATGGGGAGTGGGTTCCCGGGGGCAAGCCCGAGCCTCAAGCCCCGAGCTGCGTATACATCCACCCGGACTCGCCAAACTTCGGAGCGCACTGGATGAAAGATCCGGTCTCATTCAGTAAAGTCAAACTCACCAACAAACTCAATGGAGGAGGCCAGGTTAGGACGATAACAGTAATCACTTCAAATTACATTTTATAGACTTTTGAGTGCTTGTGTTTTTTCAATGATTATCACTTAAATAATATATGCCATTTAGAAGATGCTTTTATCCAAAGCGAATTACAGTCATGCTTGTATACATTTTAGGCTATGTGGTCCCGGAACACTCATCAATTACAATTGTCGATTGAAAGAAAAGGTATATTTCCAACTGTAACAGAAAGCCTATTATTTAACTTTAGCTTTATTTTTGGTACATTTTTCAGATCATGTTGAACTCATTGCACAAATACGAGCCACGTGTCCATATCGTGCGAGTCGGAGGGCCGCAGAGAATGATCACGAGCCACTCCTTCCCCGAGACGCAGTTCATAGCCGTCACTGCCTACCAGAACGAAGAGGTCAATTGTTGTTTTACTGTAATACATTATTTTATAGACACTCTAATGTTAATAGTAATGTGTGGGTTTTTTTTTGGGTCATGCATAACAATACGAATAAGTAGGACTAGAAGTGCACAACGTTGTAGACATTTTGTTTTGGTAGGTTTTAGTGACAGGATATCAAACAATCTTGTTTATTAAGATTCATTATTAGGTTTTTACCAATTTTACATTGTATTTTTTCACTCCACAATTTAGATAACCGGTCTGAAAATCAAATACAACCCGTTTGCCAAGGCCTTTCTGGATGCTAAAGAAAGGTAGGGCAGTTGCTTGCTCCATTTTCTGCCCATGAAATATATATTTTGTTAGATTTTATTTAAAATATAGAAGATATTAGTGAGCCTAGACTACGTTGTGTGGTTCAGTGGTAGATTGGGAACAAGTGTTCCGTAGACATGCTCTGATTGGAATCCCTCTCCACAGACCTGATCATAAAGATGGTATGGTTGACAGTGGCAACCAGCAGTCAAGCTACTCTCAATGTAAGTGTTTGTACTTTTTTTGTGATCAGCATTTATTCAACATATTTTTTTTTTAAAATGGGATTGATACATATAATAGGATTTACAGACAGCACACTGGAAATGTAAACCCTGACTAAGTATTTTACTTTGATTCTTTACTTTTAGTTCTCACTTCTTCAATTTGCAAGAAAGCATATCAACTGCAGTTGTAAAAAAAAAGGCTTTAAAAAATAAATGTGATCGATTTAACACATAGAAGATATAAAACTCGTAACATAACATGTCTCCATGTTTCCCTGTGTTCCCACCATACCACAGTGAGTGGATGGTTCATCCCAGGCCCTCCTTCTAGCCCTCACACCCAGTTTGGGAGCACCTTGTCCCTGTCCTCGTCCCATGGCTGTGACCACTACTCCACTCTGAGAAATCATCGCTCCGCTCCCTACAGCAGTCCCTACACCCATCGGACCACCTCCCCTAGTGAGTGTCTCACTCCCCTGTCCTCCACCACCCCTCCACAACCTCTCTACCACTCTACCCCCGCTCCCAACACCCCTTCCCTTCCCTTCCCTTCCCATCCAGGATATAGCTACCAACACCCCTTCCCTGCTCCTCTACCCATCCAGGGCATAGCTACCAACACCCCTTCCCTGCTCCTCCACCCATCCAGGACATAGCTCCCAACACCCCTTCCCTGCCCCTCCACCCATCCAGGGCATAGCTACCAACACCCCTTCCCTGCTCCTCCACCCATCCAGGACATATCTACCAACACCCCTTCCCTGCTCCTCAACCCATCCAGGACATAGCTACCAACACCCTTTCCTCCTCCTCTACCTCTATCCATCCTACCAACACCCCTTCCCTTCCCTTCCCCTTCCCTTCCCTTCCCTTCCCTTCCCTTCCCTTCCCTTCCCTTCCCTTCCCTTCCCTTCCCTTCCCTTCCCTTCCCTTCCCTTCCCTTCCCTTCCCTTCCCTTCCCTTCCCTTCCCTTCCCTTCCCTTCCTTCCTTTCCACCCCACCATTAACAAGAAAGTCAAACAAATGTGGCTGACCAGGAGATGTTCTGCATTCCTCCAGTCTTTGTGAGAGCAGGACACTCACAACTGTAAACAGCTGGTCTTCCAACAGGGAATGCCTGGACAGATGCATAGTCAGTCACCCTCAACTTCTTCAACCAGTACTGTCAACGTGTGTGAACTGAAGACACCCCTAGAATGACATTTAGTAGGGAGCAATTGACCGGATTCAAAGCCTCTTTAGCCCCTTTTCACGAGAGAGAACGACAAAATGTATACCAGAAGATATGTTTCTGTTTCTGCACTTCTTTGTATGACCTCATGATTGTTGTATCTCCCGTGGTTGTTCTGTTGCAGTTTGTAGGAGCCTTATGCTCAACAGGCAGCACAGAGGACTAACTAACTAACTAACTAACCTACTAACTAAGTAACTCATTCTTGGTGCAGGCCCCATGGTCTGGTGATTTAGGCAACAGAGACCCGGGTATCATTTCATCTCCCCTGTTGTTTGTAATAAAGCAAAGATGCCCTAAAAAAAAAAAGAAGGAATCTTTAAAATAAAGTCATGATTGGTTGTGTTGCAGCTGGTTACTCTGATAGCTCCTCTGGCTGTCTGTCCATGCTGCCCTCCCATGACAACTGGTCCAGTCTGCAGATTACGTCCCACTCCACGATGCTGCCCGTGACCCACTGTAGCGCCGCTGGGACGAACTCCAGGTCGGTCGGTGCTCTCTCTCTCTCTCTCTCTCTCTCTCTCTCTCTCTCTCTCTCTCTCTCTCTCTCTCTCTCTCTCTCTCTCTCTCGCTCTCGCTCTCGCTCTCGCTCTCGCTCTCGCTCTCGCTCTCTCTCGCTCTCTCTCTCGCTCATTCGTACTGTAGGGATCTTTCAAGTAAAGTATTACCATGTATTATTATAAGCCTTCTGTTCTCTCCTGTCCTCTCTGTATCCAGCCTGTGGTCCGTCAGTAACCCGTCCCTGACCCCTGTCTCCCAGTCTGGGGGGATATCCAACAGCTTAGGCTCCCAGTTCCTGCGAGGCCCCAGTGGTAGCCACTATCCTGGGCTGTCCCACTCTGTCACAGCGCCACCCGGTGGATCCCCGCTGTATGACGGCAGCACAGCCACAGAGGTGCATGATAGTACGACTCTATCGCATTATGATACATCACCGCACCGTCACACACAACTGACAACAGTATGGTCTCCTGTTACACCTCCTTCCCTGTAGGGGGCGAGAGACAGACAGCGTAGTACAATCAATGGCCATGTTTTCTGATAAAAACTTGATAGCAACATGGACTGTGATCTGTAAGCAAACCAAAGGTTAATTGAGCTTGTGTCTGCTCGTATTTCTGCTATTTTCCATGTGATAAATGTATTCAGCTTTATCCATTGAAAGAAGTACACTGATCCGTGTTTGCTAATTGTACATCTAATGTATTGTTCATAGTGTAAATATGATTATATTATCACCTCAGAATGGAGGTTGACCATGTAAATAGATACCATAATGTTGCTGTTTGTTTATGAAGTTGTCTGAGAAATTGTTGTAAATGTTACTGTAGTGCAACTGTAATGTATAAATTAAAATGTCTAATTACACGTCTTACTGTATCTTATCCTAGACCACAACCCTAATTACACGTCTTACTGTAATCTTATCCTAGACCACAACCCTAATTACATGTCTTACTGTAATCTTATCCTAGACCACAACCCTAATTACACGTCTTACTGTATCTTATCCTAGACCACAACCCTAATTACACGTCTTACTGTATCTTATCCTAGACCACAACCCTAATTACACGTCTTACTGTATCTTATCCTAGACCACAACCCTAATTACACGTCTTACTGTATCTTATCCTAGACCACAACCCTAATTACAAGTCTTACTGTATCTTATCCTAGACCACAACCCTAATTACATGTCTTACTGTAATCTTATCCTAGACCACAACCCTAATTACATGTCTTACTGTAATCTTATCCTAGACCACAACCCTAATTACACGTCTTACTGTATCTTATCCTAGACCACAACCCTAATTACACGTCTTACTGTATCTTATCCTAGACCACAACCCTAATTACACGTCTTACTGTATCTTATCCTAGACCACAACCCTAATTACACGTCTTACTGTATCTTATCCTAGACCACAACCCTAATTACACGTCTTACTGTATCTTATCCTAGACCACAACCCTAATTACACGTCTTACTGTATCTTATCCTAGACCACAACCTTGTATTCTGTTCTATTGTTTTACTAATCAAGACCAGTAGTCCAAGTTCACACTTAGGAAGCTTGTGTAGGCGAGTAATGTAAAAGTGTTACACTTTTGCCCCCACAGACATTTCGAGATGCCTCTTGCTCTGGCTCGGCCAACTCATCCCTCAGCCCTGCGTTCTCTCTCTTTCTTTCTGTCACTATGTCTCTCAAGCTCGCTCTATCACTATCTCTGTCTCTCTGTCTCTCTCACTATCTCTGTCTCTGTCTCTCTCACTATCTCTGTCTGTCTCTCTCTCTCTCTCTCACTATCTCTGTCTCTCTCACACTATCTCTGTCTCTCACTATCTCTGTCTCTCTCTCTCACACTATCTCTGTCTCTCTCTCTCACTATCTCTGTCTCTCTCTCTCTCACTATCTCTGTCTCGCTCTGCTTATGAGTGAATTCCACTCACCTACTGTATGTAAGGAATTGCATCCATCTGCGTCTCTGAAGGCAGGGGTCTGACGTTCTTACCACTGGTGCCAGAGGGAATGAATGTGTGTGTGTTTGGTTTTTACTATCCTTGTGGGGACCAGAAGTCCTCACAAGGATAGTAAAACAAGGAAAATTCAGACAAGTGGGGACAAGCCGGTCCCCACGAGGAAAAAGGCTATTTTAGGCTTAGGGGTTAGGTTTAGGGTTAGGATTACAATTAGAGTTAGAATTAGGGTTAGGGGTTAAGGTTAGGTTTTGAATGGGAATCAATAATTTGGTCCCAACAAGGATATTAAAACAAATGTGTGTGTGTGTGTGTGTGTAAAATCGATCCCGAGTGGCGCAGCGGTCTAAGGCACTGCATCTCAGTGCTTGAGGCGTCACTACAGACCCCCTGGTTCGATTCCAGGCTGTATCACAACCGGCCGTGATTGGGAGTCCCATAGGGCGGCGCACAATTGGCCCAGCGTCGTCTGGGTTTGGCCGGTGTAGGCCTTCATTGTAAATAAGAATTTGTTCTTAACTGACTTGCCTAGTTAAATAAAGATAAAATAAAAACTGGTAAGGGATGGGTGGGCTGTATCACAATGGTGGGAGGAGGGGAGCCTTTTGACCAATTTCTTAATACAGGTTTGTTGGTCTTTTGTAGGCTTCAAATGTCACAGCTGACTGTGTTGATGTAGATGGTTACGCTAGGATGAACAGAAACAGGACATCGTTAAAATAAACATACTTCTATACCTCAAACTGAACCAAAATATAAACGCAACATGTAAAGTGTTGATCCCATATTTCATGAGCTGAAATAAAAGATCCCAGAAATGTTCCATGTGCACAAAAAAGCTTATTTCTCAAAGATGTTGTGCACACATTTGTTTACATCCCTGTTAGTGAGAATTTCTCCTTTGCCAAGATAATCAAGAAGTTGATTAAACAGCATTATCATTACACAGGTGAACCTTATGCTGGGGACAATAAAAGGCCACTCTAAAATGTGTAGTTTTGTCACAGAACACAATGCCACAGATGTCTCAAGTTTTGAGGGAGTGAGCAATTGGCATGCTGACTGAAGGAATGTCCACCAAAGCTGTTGCCAGAGAATTTAATGTTAATTTATCTACCATAAGCCACCTCCAACGTGGTTTTAGAACATTTGGCAGTATGTCCAACCGGCCTTACAATTTCAAGTCTCTGCCTCCAACCCTGGGAAACTCTTTTCCACCTTCTCCTCCCTCCCTCCCTCCTCCCTCTTTGCCGACTGTCAACCACTTTGAAAAGAAGGTCGACGACATCCGCTCCTCATTCACTCAACCTATTGAGTTCATTTGCCCCACTCACACAGAACTACCCTACGCATTGACCTCTTTCTCCCCTCTCTCTCCAGATGAAATCCCATAACTAGAGATGTCCGGCCGCCCGAAAACCTGCCCCCTCAACCCCATCCCCTCCTCCCATTCCTCACTTCCCTCATCAACTCATCCCTGTCCACTGGCTGAGTCCTATCTGACTTCAAGATGGCCAGAGTCGCTCCCCTCCTCAAGAAACCAACACTCGACCCATCTGACGTCAAAAACTACAGACCTGTATACCTTTATTTTTTTCCCAAAACACTTGAGCGTGCGGTCTCTGATCAACTCTCTCATTATCTCTCTCAGAACAATCTTCTTGACCCTAACCAGTCAGGCTTCAAGACGGATCACTCAACCAAGAACTCTCTCCTCTGTGTCCCGGAGGCTCTCCACACTGCCAAAGCTGACTCTCTCTCCTCTGTTCTCATCCTCCTAGATCTAGCCACTGCCTTCGACACTGTGAACCATCAGATCCTCCTCTCCAACCTCTCAGGGCTAAGCGTCTCAGGCCCTGCACACTGCATCCTACCTGGCAGGCCGCTCCTACCAGGTGATGTGGAGAGGATCTATGTCTGCACCACGTACTCTCACTACTGGTGTCCCTTTGGGGCTCGGTTCTAGGCCCTCTCCTCTTTTCTCTATAGACCAAGTCACTCGACTCTGTCATATACTTCCCTATCAGCTAGCTATGCGGATGACACTCAACTCAACTCATTTTCTTATTACCCCCTTCTGACACCCAGGTGGTGACATCCATCACTGCATGCCTGGCAGATATCTCAGCTTGGATGTTGGTCCACCACCTCAAGCTCAACAAGACAGAGTTGCTCTTCCTCCCGGGGAAGGCCTGCCTGTTTCAAGACCTCTCCATCATGGCGGACAACTCCACGGTGTCCCCCTCCCAGAGTGCAAGAACCTTGGCATGACCCTGGACAACACCCTGTTGCTCTCTGCAAACATCAAAGCAGTGACACGCTCCTGCAGGTTCATGCTCTACAACATCCATATACAACGACCGTTCCTCACACAGGAAGCGGCGCAGGTCCTAATCAAGGCATTTGTTATCTTCTGTCTGGACTACTGCAACTCTGTGTTGGCTGGGCTCCCCACTTGTGCGATCAAACCCCTTCAACCTATCCAGAACGCGGCAGCCCGCCTTCCCATGTTCTCCCATGTCACCCCGATCCTCCACACACTCCACTGGCTTCCAGTCGAAGCTTGCATCCACTACAAGACCATGATGCTTGCCTATAAAGAAGCAAGGGGAACTACCCCTGCCTACCTTCAGGCTATGCTCAAACCCTACATCCCAACCCGAGCACTCCGTTCTGCCACCTCCTATGGACAGATACTCCAATCTCCGCTGTGGAGCTTTGCAGCTCCTTCAGGGTTATCTTTGGTCTCTTTGTTGCCTCTCTGATTAATGCCCTCCTTGCCTGGTCCGTGAGTTTTGGTGGGCGGCCCTCTCTTGGCAGGTTTATTGTGGTGCCATATTCTTTCAATTTTTTAATAATGGATTTAATGGTGCTCCGTGGGATGTTCAAAGTTTCTGATATTTTTTTATAACCCAACCCTGATCTGTACTTCTCCACAACTTTGTCCCTGACCTGTTTGGAGAGCTCCTTGGTCTTCATGGTGCCGCTTGCTTGGTGGTGCCCCTTGCTTAGTGGTGTTTCAGACTCTGGGGCCTTTCAGAACAGGTTATATATGCAGTGAGGGAAAAAAGTATTTGATCCCCTGCTGATTTTGTACGTTTGCCCACTGACAAAGAAATGATCAGTCTATAATTTTAATGGTAGGTTTATTTGAACAGTGAGAGACAGAATAACAACAAAAAAATCCAGAAAAACGCATGTCAAAAATGTTATAAATTGATTTGCATTTTAATGAGGGAAATATTGTCAATGAACATCTGAATGATTCAGAGGAGAACTGGGTGAAAGTGTTGTGGTCAGATGAGACCAAAATGGAGCTCTTTGGCATCAACTCAACTCGCCGTGTTTGGAGGAGGAGGAATGCTGCCTATGACCCCAAGAACACATTCCCCACCGTCAAACATGGAGGTGGAAACATTATGCTTTGGGGGTGTTTTTCTGCTAAGGTGACAGGACAACTTCAACTTCATATACCGTCAAATCTTGGGTGAGAACCTCCTTCCCTCAGC